CCCCCCCCCCCGCGCCTCTCCATCCACTACCCTGTCTCACTTGGCCCAGGAGAAATGACTTTGTTGACACAGTGTTTGTAAAAATGGCCATTTTTGAACTTTCACAAATGGAGTCATACTGGAATTACAGAGGGTCTGCTGCTGGGTGATTCATTTTGTGAAAGGAGTGTTACTGAGATAAGTGTAAAGTGTGTGGTGTGGTGCCTGGGATGTGACCTTTGCCCCTGAAGCCCTGACTGCTGTCAGGTGGGTAGCTGCTAGCCGGTGAAGGGTGCTTGCCACACGCTGAGGGAGGAGTGTTTCCTAGAGATGCTAGGATGTATTACATATACGTGTAGTCATCCAATAAATTAATGCAATAAATATATTTATTGGATGACTTTATTTTTACTTTTTTGTGATACAAGACTTGAATTTATAGTCTGGGCTGCTGAATATCAGCAAGAACTGTAGGCTCACCTCCCAGAAATTTTGGTTAAATTCCCTGTTTATCAAAAGTAAATCACTTTTATTCTGTGGAAATATTAGTATTATTATTGAAGGAAGAAGAGTTTGTTTGGTTATCAGTGATTTGTCAAGTTCTTGAAGTGCATTTGACAAGAGTATGTCTGTGTCTGTGTCTGCCTGTCTGTCTCTCTTTTGAACTGGGTCTCACTCTGATCATGGCTCACCATAGCCTTGAATTCCTGGGCTTAGGTGATCCGTCTCTTTCAGCTGTGCTGGGATCACTGTGTGCACCTCACCTAGCTGACAAGTGTTTTGAATACATGTTATGAGAATTGAAGTGTGTTGGATTGAGTGATAGGGAGTTTCCTAGATTAGAGAAGAAGAACTTGGTCCTCCATTTTCTTGGTGTGTGAAACTGGAGTGTCCAGGCAGCTATGGGGAAGAGGAAGGGGGACAGGGTGTTGCTTGCTGGGGACAGTACCTAATGGGGCATGAGCCATGCTTAGAAAGTGCTCAAGGCCAAGACCAAAGCCATTTAGACAAGTGTGCACTGCAGCTTTTTTTTTTGGAGTTGGAGTCTCACTCTGTCACCCAGGCTGGAGTGCAGTGGCACACTCACGGCCACTCCAGCGTGGACCTACTGGGCTCCAGCGATCTTTCCGCCTCAGCCTTCCAAGTAGCTGGGACTACAGGCCCACGATATCATGCCCGGCTAATTTTTTTTATTTTTACTGTAGAGATGAGGTCTTGCCAAGTTGCCTAGACTGGTCTCGAGCCGTGGACTCAGGCAATCTGCTTACCTTGGTCTCCCAAAGTGCTGGGATTACAGGCTTGAGCCACCTTGCCCGACCTGCTTTTATATTATTTTTTGAGACAGATCTTGCTCTGTTGCCCAGGTTGCAGTGCAGTGACGCAGTCACAGCTCACTGTGACCTCAAACTTCTGGGCTCAAGTGATCCTCTTGCTTCAGTCCTTGCCAAGTAGCTAGCACTGTAGGTTTATGCCACCATGCCTGGCTAATTTTTGTATTTTTTTGTAGAGATGAGATCTTGCTGTGTTGCCCAGGGTGGTTACAGCAGCTTTTCGGGGCAGTCTTCTAGCATGGGATGCTAGATTACTGGCTACCAAGCTCTAAGCTTTACTTTCTGACTCCTTTTGGTTGTGCCATCAGGAAGAAGTTCTGGATACAGTATTCTTCAAATCAATAGAGGAAAGTACTAATTACATTGCCCTGCTTGCCTTTTTAAAAAAAGTTTAAGCCGGGCTGGGTGACTCAGCGTAATCCCGCGCCTTTGGGAGGCTGAGGTGAGTGGATTGCCTGAGCCCGCGGGTTCGAGACCCGCCTGGGCAGCGAGACCTCATCTCTACAATAAATCAAAAAATCAGCCGGGCCTGGTAGTGCATGCCTGTAATTCTGGCTACTCGGAAGGCTGAGGCGGAAGGATCGCAGGAGCCCAGCAGGTCGAGGCTGTGGTGGCCGGGAGCGGCCACTGCACTCCAGTCTGGGCAACAGAGTGAGACTCCAACTCAAAAACAAAACAAAAACAAAACAAAAACAAACAGTGATGATAGGTACAGTGATTGGGATGACTGTTACAAAAGTACTCATTGCTTTCTTATTCCACAAAGTTCTAAAAATTAACCTTGTGAAATTTGTGATTCCCATATGTTGGAACTGAGATAATGTGGAATAGAAGTTTAACAGTATCACATTGCTGACACTAGCTGTATGGCCTTGGGTAAGTGACTTAAATTCTTGTTTCCTCATTTCTGAAATGGCATTTATCCTGTGTCACTGGGTTGCAATAAGGCTTTGATACATGTTAATACACAGGGGCTTAGCTAGTAAGTACTGTGTTTGGTGCTGCACCACTAATAAAAATAATGTGTTATCAACATCTTTGTCTTTTGCGATTTCCCTTGGCGTCTTTCATTTCAAAGGCT